AGCGCGGCGGGCAGCATGGCGGCCCGAGGACACCGAGCTCTCCGCTCCGCCCGCGCTCCCGGCGGGCCCCGCGCCGGCCCCGGCACCGGCGGACAGCCAACGGCGACACAGGGGCAGCGCAGCGGTGCGCCATGGGAGATGTAGGCCAGACCGGGCCGACGGGAAAGCGAAATCAATCGTGATAAATCTATTTATCGTTTCTAAATAGGAGTAGAAAAAATTTCATGTCTGAAGGAACAGAAATTGCTTCCTCTCTGGAATGTTTGGAAGGAGAATTGGTTAGATTCCTACACTGTATAGCATGGCTAACGGTAAAATTGAAGTATAATGAAGGCAAATTAAACAAAAATAAAGTCTGAAAGCCTTGTCATTTTACCTGACTTTCACTAATTGCAGTAATACATTCTAATGCTGCATAAAGCTTAATAATTTAGGACTATGCATCTACAGCACAGAAACATTCTAGACAGTGTAAGAAGGGAATTTTTGTGGCCAAAGCTCAGTCTGAGCTGAAGCTGGCCGTACTGGGGGTGGAGTGTGCCGGGATCTGCCCCCGCAGCTGCTGCCACCCTCGGCAAACACTTGCCCCGTTCGCGAGGGATCCAGCCCAGCCCAGCACAGGAGCCCGCCATTCGTTCCAACACTTTATTGTCACCGATAGCGCTCGGCCTCCGCCGGGACGGGGACAGGCCCGGCCAGCAAAGGGCCGGGGCCATGAGGGCGCTGCAGGGAGCGGGGCACAGCAGGGACGGGGCACAGCTGGCACCGGGACCGGGCAGGAGTGCTCCGCCCTCGGGGCCCGTGCCACGAGCCCCGGGACAACGACAGGGGCAGGCCGAGCTCCCGCCCGGCCCCAGGGCCGCCAGCTGCCAGGGGAGGGTGGGTGAGCCGGGGCTGCTGCCCCGGGCTGCAGGGCGTGGGGGTTGCACCCCTGCCCCTTGGTCCCCAAAGCTGGCAGTAGGAGCCTCTGGCCCCACCGCCCCTGGGGCACGGGGCCGGGGGGCAGGACGAGTAGTCGAAGTACAGAGTGAAGATGAAGAGTAGTGTTACACTGGAGCCCTGTGCCCACGATCAGTCAAAGGAGATGAGCTGGGCCTCCCCGCTGCCCGGGGGCTGCTGCCCGGGGGCAGGCGCTGCTGGGGGCTGCTGCTGGGGGGGCCCCCCAGCTGGGGCCACCTGCAGCAGAGGAAAGAGCTTTGTTAGTGTGTGGCTTCGTTAGCATACGAGCCCTACTGGGTCCTGAACCCCGGGCTGGTGGCACTCACCTGTTGGTAGAGGGGCTGCTGCCCAGGCAGGTAGGACTGCTGGGCTGGCAGGCTGCTCAGAGCTGTGTCCTGGCCTGGCAGGGCAGACATAAGACCCTGTGGGAACGAGGGGGTGGGCGTCAGAGGGGCTGAGGTACATGCAGCACCCATAGGGCACTGGTGGGTGACTGCCCCCAGGATGGCTCCATGGGCTGAGCCCAGCCATGCCTTGTCCCCCCCACCCAAGCTGGAGTGCTCACCTGCATGCTGTAGGGCTGGTAGCCCATGGAGACAGACTGGCTGCCCATGTAGCCCATGGTGCCCGACTGGGGTGCCTGGGAGATGGCTGGGATGCTCTGCGACTGTGAGGCTGCAGTCTGTGGGGAGAGGCTGGTGAGAGGTGGCACAGACAGCAATGGCTCACTTCTCCAGACAAGGCCCTTGAGCCCAGAACTGGATGTAACTCCAGCCCACTTCAACAGCAGATCTGGAACCAACCAGCCCGTCCTCCCTCCTGCTCAGAGATGTCATTGCTGAGATTGGGTACATTGCCCAGCCCCACAGAACCCCCCAGCCCTTGTCCCCGTTGGCTGCAGGCTGCGCTGCCTCACTTGCCTGGTAGCCCTGTGTGGGTGTGGGCTGGTAGGATGAATACGCAGGGGTGGTGGTGGGCACTGCCGGCCCCTGCTGAGGCCCCTGCCCACTGCTGGTGCCCGGCTGGTACATGTAGGCATTCACCATGCTGGGATCTGGGTGCAGAGAGCAGAGGTTGGAGCGACTGCCTTGGGCTCTCCCCTATCCCCAGAGGCTGAGCTGCTGACGTACCAGTGCCAGGCATGGCAGCGTAGGGCCCAGCTCCCCCTTGTGCAGCCTGGTTCATGTACACGCTGTGCATGGGAGAGCCCTCCACGGAGCCAGCTGGGCTGAAGGTGCCAGGGAAGCTGGTGGACCCAGAGGGCTGGTAGATCACCCCACCGGCTGCAGGCATGGCCTGGAGCTGGTGGGAGAAGGAAAGCCAGCTTAAAGCTGCAGTCCCTGGAACAGGGCAGGGGGAGCCTATCCCAGCAGCTGTACCTGAGCATAAGGCAGTGAGAAAGCTGGCATCTGGGCTCTCATCTGGATGGTCTGCTTCTGCTGCTCCAGGCGCAGCTGCCTCTCCTTCTCCTGCTCCTGCAGTCGCTGGATGGCCAGCTGACGCTGCATCTCCAGGTACTCCTGTGGCAACAAGGCCGTGGTGGCTGGGAGCCACCACACCACACCACACAGCCCCTTCTACCAGGGCAGCCAGCCCTGGGCTGGGCCTGCACTACCCCGGACATGCTTCCCTGCCTCACCTGCTTCTTCTGCCTCATGATCTCCAGCTTCTGTGCCAGCTGGATCTGGCGCTGCCGCTCTGCCTCCTCCGCGGCACGGCGCAGCTTCTCCTGGTGCTCCTCCCGCAGCGCGTTCAGAGCCCCACGCGCATCCCGGATCTGGGCCAGTTTGTCCTGCAGGCCCTCATAGTACACTGGGGAGGGAAGGGACAGCCTCAGGAACGCGGGGACAGAGCACTGGGATTGCACACCAGCTTCTCTCCAGTGAGACTGTGCCACGGGAACGCTGAGCCCTGACAGTGTGGAAGCCCCGGCTGCCGCCCACCCACGCCCAGGGCCAGCAGCTCCCCCGGCTCCCACGCACGCCTGCGCTCGTCCAGCTGGTTCAGCAGCTCCAGCAGCTGTGGGTGCATGTTGTTGATGGACTGGAAGAGGGACAACACGGCAGAGTCGTTGGTGATGCTGCGGCCTCGCATGTGGTTGCTCTTCATGCGGTTGACGAAGGTGGTGACCGCATTCTGCAGTGCCTTCAGGAACTGCTCGTGGTTCTCCTCGGACTCACCATTTTGGTACTGCTGCTGGAAGGAAGGACGGGGCAGCCAGTCAGCTGTGACCTCCCAGTGCAAGAGCCAGCAGCTGGCCTGCAGAGCCCAAAAGTCGGGTGCTTCTTGCCCCTCGGTGGGTGCCAGACCCAAGCCCAGGCCCCCTCTTACCTCAACCACCCCAAGAGGGGCAGGGTGGGCTTCCCCAGGCTGCACAGCTGGCTCTGTCAGGGACAGGGGTGCTGACGGTGTGGGGCTCTTGCGAACCTCCTCCTGTTTCTTCTCCCAGTAGTTGCGGTTCAGGTACCGAGCCAGCTGCCAGGAAGAGAAGGAAGCTGAGCATTGCTGCCTCACAGGAGCAAGCCTGTGCTGCAGACTAGCAGGATTCTTACCTCTGGGTCAATGTCCTCGGCCAAGGGAGCAGAGGAATTCTGGCAAGAGACAAATGGAGAAATGCAGTTCAGCAAAACCACAGATCCCCAAGTCCCACGCAGGTATTCAGCTTGGACCTGGCCACGTATGACCACCAGTGCTGAGCCTCAAAGGGGACACAAGCTGGGAGGCAGTGGAGGCACCCAAGTCCCGGCTGAGAACACACCTTCTTGCTCAGAACACAGTGAACGAACAAGGGGTTGAATGGGGCAAAAATTTTCTCTTAGTATGGGGATTAAATTAGACACAGTCAGGGCAGACTCAGGCTCAGGAAGTGGCCTGTGGCCAGCCACTTCACGTGCCATGGACGTACCACAGGTGGGGAGTAGAGTGTGCTGACTGGGGGAGCTGAGGATGTGACAGGAGTGGGCTCAGCCTTAGGGTACATGGAGTAGGTTGTTTTCTGCCTCTGCAAAAGAGAAAATCGCCAACTCAGAGAGAGTCCAGGCTTCTCCAAACCAACCCAAACACAGCCTGTGCCTGGCTCTGCTTTCACCCTCTTACTCCACAGGCTTTCAGCCTCGCTCACACAAGGACATGTCCAGACATCTGTTATGGCACAGCTGAGCTGAAGAGCAACAACCCCTCCCAGACCCCAGCAGTGAACAAACCATTCTCTCCTTCTCCTCAGCCTCTGACTGAGACAAGGCAATAGCCAGTTGGAGCTCCTCTTCCTCTTGCAGAGCTGTCTCATCACGCTTTGGAGGCAGCTGGAAGTGGAAACATAAGGAAGTGGTCAGTAATGGCATCAACAAACAGGTCAGGAACACCAGAACATCTGTGGGGCAGCTGCTCACCTGGGACTGCTGAGAAAGTGGGCTGGTCAGGTACTCAGGGGGCAGTTCAGAGGTGGCAGCAGCTTTACCCTCAGTTTTCCTGTAGTGACAAGTGACAGTATGGACTGAATGCTCCCTCCTCTGCAACAGAGCCCAGCTCTGCACCATGTTCCAGCAGCAAGCCCCACTCCCAGGAAGGAAGAGGGCCCAGCCCAGGCCTGCACAGCCTGGGAAAGCCCCGTTGTGCTCTGCAGGGAGCTAGCTCCACACCATGCTTCCCCCCTCCAAGTCCCAGCTGTCACAGGCAAAGAAACCCACCACGAAGGGTACTGACTTGTTGAGATGCTCATAGCAGGGCTCACAGACTCTCACTTCCTTCTCAATCCCAAACTTGGGGATGGTGGAATACTTGGAGGAGCATTTTCCACAGAAGATCTGCCCACAAGCCCGGCAGTGGTGCTGTGAAGGACAGGAGACGTGAGTGTGGTGGCAAGACATTCCTTTTCCTTCAGCCAACATCAGTCAGACACTCATTTCCCTGCCAGCAGCCAGGAAACATGGTCTGTCCCAGCACACTTCACAGAGCAAGTCCTGCAAGTCCCAAGGGCTGTGCAGAGCAGGGAGCCCAGGAGCAGCACCCACCTTGCGCGTCACAACACCAAACTGCACTCGGCACCTGTGACACTCCTCTGCATCCACCCAGTCTGGAGCCTGCAGGGGTCAAGGGAAATGGAGTAAGGAGGAAGGAGTGTGTTTGCACTGGACCTTTCACGAGCTCTGATGGTTAACAGGGCTCTCATGTCTCGTGGGGGAGACTGGGGGCATCTGCAGCTCAACAGGAAATATTAATCCCCAGTTATCTCCTCTCATGTTCCTTTGAGAGTGTGATGTTTTCCCAGTCAGTACAAGATTTACTAGAAAACTGTCTGCACAGCAATCACTTCAGCAATGCCCTGCTGCCACGTCCAGCCTGTCAAGCTGCTGCAAGGCCAGTGAGCAGGAGGAATGATGGGCCTGACTCTCTGGCCTGGCCAGTTCTCCCAGCAAGGTCTCCAATCCACACAAAACAGAGGAATGTAAGACCTGCAGGTTTGCAGAAGGGGATGGGAAAGCAGGTCTGTCTCCCAGTGCCAGCTGCTCCCCCCACCACAGAGCTCACCCTCTCTGCAGCGAACATGGCGTCGCTCTCCTTGAACTCTGGGAAGACGTGCCCTGCAGGAGAAATGTTGTGAGAGGAATCCTCTGGCACAGGGAGGCCGTGTGCCTGCAAGCTCATGCTACAGGTGCCAGCTCAGCACCACCTCTTGTCTTGACCAGCACCTCCCTCTGACACACCTGAAGCAGGCTCCCCTCAGCCATAGTCTGAGGACAATCCCCAGTTGTTTCCCTTACACATCCACAAGGGACATCACAGGCCTCTGCATAAGGCTTATTATTTCTCAGTACTTTGATCTGAGTGGGATAAAAAGCCCACTGGATGGGCAGACAGAGCTGTGAGTTTCAGCTCTTCAAGGGCTAGAGCTTGGCAACACCAGTTCAGGATGCTGGACTGACCCTCCAAGCTTGTGCCACTGCCTGCAGAGTTTCTGGTGCACAGAAGGAAGCAGAGTGTGTCCCTGCCCTTAAACGGACACTGCTGTCCTGGGACAGAAGGGAAAATGTCACACCAACACTGTGTCAGCAAGTGGGACTGTGGACCCATCCTGGGAGTAGGAACAAAAGCCTTGAGGAAGGAACTGCCCCACAGCAAATCCCTCCCAGAGGACACGATGACTTGCTGCCAGTCTCCCCAAGAACAGTTGCAGCTCCTGCTTTTCGGGTCTCCCTGCCAGCCCTGAAGGCTGGGCTGGAGGCCTGGAGCAAGGCTGCCCTGCTTCTGGTACCACTGGACTGTCCCATGTCTGCAGCAGGGTTCAGTCACCCTGAAGGGTTCATTGGGTATTGGGAACCAAGAAAGAGCTCTGTGCTGCAAGCCCAGATTTTGCTCACACCAGGCACAGAAATGCCAAAGCTCCTGCAGAGCAGAGCTGCTTCACCAGGTGTCCCCTCACCTGTGGCCACAGTCCTCACCTTCAACCTTCATTATCTGATAGGTGTCCTGCACCACCTTGTACTTGGGCTCGTTGCGGAAGGCGTGAGCCCAGGCCTGGATGAGGTACAGGATCTTACTGCGGACACTTGTCTCCACTTGCCTCTGCACAGGAAGGGAGGAGAAAAAAACACCTGAGAGAATGTCCCTGAAATGTGTGAACCCCCTAAGGAGAAGCCAGCAATACCACTCAGGAAAGAGAGACTTTAGAGTACTCAGGAGAGGTAAGAGCTGTCAGAAACCTGCAGCAAGAACAATGCACAGCACAAACAGACCCCTTCAGCTGCCCCACTGCCTCCTCTGGCACAAACAGCACAATGTCCTTTGAGCAGCACAGAGCGACTGAACAGAGCTGTGCCTTGATGCCCAGAGCAAGTGTCCAGCAGCTCTGTCCAGCCCCTTACCAGAGTCACCCATACCACACTCAGACCTCGGTGGGAGCCCCAGCTGCCCAGGACAGCACAGCCCACCTTGTCTGACCCCTGACAGCGCTGGGGGGTGCCTGCAGGGTGCCAGCACCTCCACTCCAGCAGTACTCAAAGCCATCTCAGGATGTGACAAAGTGAGGACAGCTGGGACAGCTGCCCTTTGGAGGCAGGGCAACTGCATCACACTTCACGGAACTGGAGAAAAGTTGGCAAGCCTGTTCTGACCTCAGCCAGTCTCAGAGCTGCCGTGTCATCAGCTGCCCAAGTGATCACATCCACATGACTGGCTGTTCCAGAAACCCCAGGAAGCACAGCAGCACTGGCAAGCTCTGATTTTAGCCAAGACCTCAGCCCACACAGCATCACTTACTGACAATTCCTGGAGCTCCAACTTCTATAACATTTGACAAAATCCTGCATTCCATACATGTCACATCCCTGGACCTCATCAGAACTTGGACTGTTTTACCAGCATTGGGTGTTCACAAGCAGAAAAGTTCCAAGTGTGGGAGGAGAATGGGGCAGTTGTGAAACTCCTGAGGCAGGCAGGGACTGAGAGAAACACAAAATCCCCGGATCTGATTCGACCTCCTCAGCCCTTGGAGCAGCTGTGCTGCCACACCTGGCTGTCATGCTATGGCAGTGTTCCTGCCCCAGGAGGAGATCCTGCAGGGAGACTGAGTCAGCCCTAACAGGAAGGTGACAGGACTCACACAGCTCGTCCTCCAAGGATCTGGGTCACCTGTTTGTTTATTTCTGGTGGAAGACAGAAGTATGACTCTAATGAGCTCCTGTCTGGGCATTGCTGTTCTGAGCTGGGAGCTGGAGACAGGAGTTCTCATGTCCACTTCACTAATGGAATTCCCCAGTCCAAGGACACATGAAGCTCCAGCAGGCATCAGACTGGTGAAAGCTTGTAGCAACAACTCGTCAGTGCCAGCAGCCATGGCCACATCCTGCAGAGCTCCTGAACAACTCACGCCAATGACACGGCCGTGACACAGAGGCAGCTCCAGCTGGTTTTTCCTTTGTTGCTTTACCTGCCTATGTGTCTCACACTGTTCCATGAGAGGGAATTCACCTTGCCACTGCCCAGGTCCTTGGTACAGGTGCCAGGCCATCATCTGTTTTTCTGTACTGTTCCAAGTGTTGCATCCAGGAGCATTTACCATGGAATGGCCCAGGCCCCCACAGCAATTCCTGCCATTTCACAGTGCAGACAAACCTCTGCCCCCACCACATCTCTTCCCAGAAGCCCTCCTTCACTGCCTACACTCTCCCTTTCACACCACACAATAATTTGCTCTTTTCTGAAGTGCATTTCCAGTTTCCCTTCTGCTCCTTACCCAAAGAGGACAAAAGAGAGGACACATACATTTCTTCCTGCTGCTCCTGCTTTTCCATAGGAAAAAAATGACAGTAAAATAAATCTATTTACCTTGAGTATTTCCTTCAGCTCCTCCATGGTCTGTTTATTGGCCACCTCGTCATGGACTGTTTGGCCACAGTTTTTAACCACTGACTCCATGACCTGCAAGGGCCAAGACCACATCAGCCCACAGCTTCCTGCCTCCCCTGCAACTTGTGGGGGTCCCAGGACACACTGCAGGCTGAACACGGGGCAGTACTTAAGCAGAGGGGTGTGTTGGGGTCATGCCAATCCACTCCCTGCACTGGGAGCCAGCTGTCCTTCACCTCCCTGGGGGGCTGGGGGCCTTCTGCTCTGTGGAAACCAACCCCGAGGAGAGCAGCCCAAGTCTCAGCTTTGCCTGTTCCAAAGCCAAGATGGAACTAAAGCATGAACCCCTGGCCTGATCACCCCAAAACCTCAGTGCCAGAGTCAGGGAGAGGCTGGCTCCCCGCTGGGCTGCAGGGAGCTGTGCAGCCTGAAGGCAGGTAGTGGGAAGCCCCCGCTGTGCTCCCAGCCAGGTGCTGTTACCTCCAGCGCGTACAGGGCCACATGGGGATTCTTGTCATTCACCTTCTTCTTGATGGCGTTGACAGCGTACTTCGCTCTGGGCAGAGGAAGAGGGGACATGTTCTCAGGGGACCAAGAATCTGAGGGGAGATCCCACCTGCTGCTGACAGCCCACCAATCCCCACGCTGGCACGAAGGGCACAGCTAGCTCAGGGGTACATGATTCACTGAGTGAAACTGGGAAGGAATAACCACACTCAAGCTTGACTTTCCCTACGGATTTCAGGGCAGGGGTAATCTGCAGACTCTGGGATGCACACCAGCACATCAGGGTGTGCTGTACAGCTTCTCTGATGGAAAGGTATAACGAGATGTGTGTTACAGGTCCGAGACCCTCCAAGGGTCTCTCCTTCCTTGCACAGACAGCAGAGCTGTGCCCGCAGCACGTCCAAAAGCCCGGCAGCACTCACTGCGTGTCTCCCTGACGGATCATGTCGCAGATCTGCAGGATGGATTCCCAGTCCGTCTCCAGCAGGAGCTGGCTCGTGGCCTTATCTGCAATGAGCAAACCCACGGGGCCGCCGTGAGCCATGTTGCTGCCCGCGGCTCCGCTCCGCCACCGGCGGGCCCGGGGAGCGCCCCGGGCGTGGCGCTGCCCCGGGCTCGGGGAAAAGCCCCCGATTGCACCCGGGAAGCACCAACCCTCCCGCTTCAGACACCCCGGGCGCCCGGTGACCCCGGCCCCGCCGCTGCCTCTCCTCCGGGGCGGCACCGGGCTGCGGCACCGCCACCCGAATCGGCCCAGCCGCGCCGTGCTCTGGGCCCGGGGCTCCCGGGGCCGAGCGCTGCGGACCCCGACCCGCCCGCCCAGGGAGCCGCGCCGGTACCGAGGAGCCGCTCGAAGGTGCCACCGCCGCGCCCCATGGTGTCCGCCCGCCGCCGGCCCGGCCCGGCCCGGTCCGACCGCTCCGGTCCGCTCCGTTCCCCGCCCCGCCGCGGCCCTTCCGCTTCCGGCTTCCGCGGGGCGCCGCCGCTTCCGCGGGGCGGCTCCGCCATGGCCGCGGGCCGCTCCCCGCCCACTTTCCTGCTGCTGGGGGCGGCAGGCGGCGGCAAGAGTCTGCTGGTGCGGCGGCTGCGCCATATCCGTGGGCACGGGGGCACCGGGGAGGCGGGGAGGGCCGGGGGCCGGGGCGGGGGCGGGGACCGGGGCCGGGCGGACTGCAACCCTGGCCCGTTCCCGGAGCCGCCGTGTCCTTAACGCGAGGCACAGCTGAGCGCCGAGGAGCCCGCGGAGCTAGGCGAGCCCCCGGCCACGCTGCCCACGGTAGGTGCGGCCCGGCGGGGCCGAGCGGCTGCGGGGCGGGCGCGGGGCACGGCCGCAGCCCGCGCTGCCGGTGCCTGTCCCGCAGGTGGGCACCAACCTGACGGACCTGCGGCTGCCGCGGAGGGTGACCGTGCGGGAGCTGGGCGGCTGCATGGGCCCCATCTGGCCCAGCTACTATAGCGAGTGCAGCGCTCTCCTGGTGAGCAGCACCGGGAGCCCGTCCCGGGCCGCGGTCCCGAGGGACGGACGCGGCGAGAGGGGCTTTCGGGGCGGGGGTCGGTCGGTCCGCCCGGTTTCGCCCCGTGGTGGGATTTCCCTCCTCCGTGCCCTGCTTGGGCCCAGCCCGGCCCGGGGCTGATGCTGGCACACCCGCACGCTGCTTTCCCTTCTTCCCTGCAGTTCGTGGTGGATGCCTCCAACCCCAGCCAGGTCTCCTCGTCCTGCATCCAGCTGCTCTCAGTCCTCTCTGCAGCGCCGCTCGCCTCTGTGCCCGTCCTGGTGCTCTTCAACAAGATGTGAGGAGGAGGTCACCCGAAGGGTGGGGTGGCCGGGAGCAGCGGCTGTGCTCTGCTGCACGTCCCAGGCTGCAGGAGACCCCTGCGCTGTTGTGCTTGGCTGATGCCTGAGCTCCCCCGTCCCCGTTGCAGTGACCTGCCCTGCTACATGTCCCTGGTGGAGATGAAGTCGCTGTTCCGCATGCAGGACATCGTGTCCTGTGCTACGCAGCCCATCACGCTGCTGGAGACCAGCGCCCGCGACGGCACCGGCCTGGCCGATGTCCTGCAGTGGCTTCGGAGCACCCTCAAAGACCCCTGCTGATCCCAGCCCCGCAGCCCAGGACCATCCTGCCACCCGAGGAGGTGGTGAAGGGGCAGCTGCCCTGCCAGGCACTGGGAGCAGAACCCAGGAGTGCCTTGGGCTGTTGATGGACTGGATCCCTGTGGGACTTGACAGTAAAGCTCCCACCACACTGTCCAGGCTGGTGGCTGCCTTGTGCTTGGAGGGAAATCCTGGGCTTTTAGGCGGGGGGATAGGCAGAAGCCACAGAGGCCAGATCATGCTGGCAGCTCCAGGCACAGGAGGGGTTCCTGCAGTGGGGTTGGAGGCTGCAGCAGCACCTGAGCTGAGCTAAGCACGGCTAAGCTCCAGGAGTTCCATGACCCTCTTGTCCTGAGGAGCCCAGAACTGGACACAGCACTCCAGCTGCATCCTCATCAGGGCTGAGCAGAGGGGCAGGATCACCTCCCTTGACCTGTGGGCAATGCTTTTCCTAATGCACCCCAGGAAGAGCTGGGGCTGTACAGAGAACCTGCCCTGTGGCCACACCATCAGCACTGTCTGTCCATGCTGGTAACACCCTGTGCCCTCACTGCTGGCCCAGCCCAGCTGGGCAGGCAGCTGCCTCAGCTGGCAGCCCTGGTGCCAAGTCACAGGGGACTGGACTGGTGGCTGCCCGTGCCTGGCACATGCCACAGCACACCCTGTCCTGGGCCTGTCAGCGCTGTGGCACTGGGGCAGCTCCATCCCAGGGCCTGACAACAGCATGACATGTCAGGGAGTGGCTCCTGGTGCTGGGGGCTGCAGCTATTGCACTCTTATGGTCAGTGGCAAGGGGGGTAGCAGTGGCCTTCCCTCCAGCAGTGTGGGCTGAACTGGGCTCTGCCCCAGGCAGCCCCATGGCAAAGCAGGCAGTGCCAAGGAGCCTGAGCACACCCTGACACTGCTGCTGAGTCACCACCAACAGCCCTGACACACCAACCCTCCCTGCCTGCTTCCAGCCCAACAGGTCCAGACACCAGCCAGAGCACTCCTGCACAGCAGCACTTTAATTGAGCCCAGAGTCCCTGCCCAGCCCAGCACACAGCAGCTCGGTGATTCTTCCAAGTCCATCCCAGCAGCCAGTGCAGCGGGTGCTGGGGGTGGCCCAGTGACCTTGTTTGTGGGACTGCCATCATCCAGCTGCTCTCCTGGTGAGCCAGGCACTGGGATGGAGCTGGGGCTGTGCCTGCTGCCCCTAGGCAGTGTGAAGGTAGCTGTGGACAAAGCTTCATGGTCCCCAAAGGATTCTGAGAACAGCCCAGGGCACACTGGCAGGAGGGAGAGCTGAAGGGCAGTCCTCTGCAGGTAGTGAGCCCCCACGGAGCAGGGCTGTGAGGTGAGGCAGTCCTGCACGGAGCTGTGCCCTGGGGTGTGGCAGCAGGCCGGGTTCTGTACCCGCTGCATCCCAGCAGCTCCAGGAGCAGAAGCACCTGCACCCCTGCGATGCAGCATTCCCAATGACGTCCTTGGCCATGGCAAGAGGAGGATCTTCCCCAGCACTCCACGGTCCCCCAGCTTCCAGCGCTGTGTTGTGATGGACAGATTCAGTCCCAGCTGCAAGCAGAGTCCATTCCATCCCATTCCTTCCTGTGGAGCTTGACACTAAGAGGACAGAGTCCCTAAGATCCCAGGTCCTTGTCCCAGACCTGCCTCCATCCCCTTTGCTGTCCCTGGGCCTCAGCAACACCAAGGATGGTGCGTCCCTTGGGACAGGCAGAGGAGCATCCGTGCCCATGGCTGAGCTCTGCGTGTCCTGGCAGCCCCTCCCCACTGCTCTTCATGCTGGCCTCACCTGGGGCTCAGGAATGCCTGTGTCTCTGCTCATAAACGGAGTGAAGCTTCTGAATGAGAAACACCTTATCTTCCCCTTCCTGCAACATCAGAGACAGCAGTGAGCAGCACTGGGGTGGCTGAGAGGGGCTGGGGGGCCTGAGCCCACACTGGCAGTCCAGGGGCTGGAGCAGGCTGTGAAACAGCAGGGATGGGCAGGGGCAGTGCTCACGTTGGCAATCTGCTCCTGGAGCAGGCAGATGACCCTCTGGCGGCCTCTTACCACCTGGATGTTGAAGTAGATCACAGCTCTGCAACGACAGCAGGGTGGGATGGTGGCAGCCAGGCAGGAAGCTGAGGGACACTGTGCTCCTGGCACTGGGATGGGGCACAGGGCTCTGGAGTGACACCTTGGCTCCCAGCCCCACTCAGGACCCTCAAAGTGAGGGCCTGGGGTTCAGCATTGGGTTTGGGTCCATACTCACATCAGGGCCACAGACATGAAGAACAGGAGGCATGTGTTCTCCAACAGGTGCTGGTAGACCCAGGCAAACCAGGTGATGTTTGGGTTGGACTTCTCCAGCACCAGCACCCACCTCTTCCCTGACTTGTAGATGGTTTCCAGCCCTCGGAAGGGACCGCAGGTTTCTGATGGCTGCACCCTAAGCAAACAGACCAGCAGGGTATTCAGAGCAATGGGCAGCCCAGCAACTGCTGGCCCCAGACCAGGGCACTGCCTGTCTCAGATGTCCAGCCCTCCAGAGACCCAGCCTCACTGTCCCCAGCATCCCCAGGGCTGGACAAGGGAGTCCCCATCCCTCATCCTGCACCAGGAACAGCTGGAGAAAGTGAGCACAGGCCAGCAGGAAGGCACCTCCCTTGCCTGGGGCAGCACCTCATGGCCTGCAGCTGGGGGATGCCAGAGACAGGGGACATGGTCTCCCCCACCCCTCCTTCTCCAGGCAGCCACGGGTCCTGTGCCCTGAGCCACAGCCTGGTGGGTACTCACGACCATATGGTGTAGGAGAGGAAGGCAGCTGCACCCAGGAAGGAGGGGAAGCACAGCAGAGTGATGAACACAGTGGTCATGTGTGATGCTTGCCAGGGCTTGCTGGGGGACTGGCAGTTCCGCATCAGGCTGGTCTGTGGATAGGGAGCAGTGTCCTGTGGGCTGCCAGCTCCTGAGAGCAGTCCCTGCTGTCCCCTCCCTCCTGCCCACTGGGAGTGAGTGAGCTTGGGGACGTGCTGTCCCCAGAAAGCCTCACTCAGTCCCACAAGGAGCGGGCTGCTCCGGGTGGCACCATCACTGCAGCAGAGACTGAGGGTGGCAGGGCACAGTGTCACCGCAGCTTCACCCTGTGGGGAGTTGCAGGGGGTGGGGGAATCACAGGGAATCACACCTTTTTGATGTAGAACAACAGCAGCAGCTTCAGCATCTGCACAGCTGGCAGGAGTGGAGCGAAAAGAATGCCCAGCCTGGGAGCAGGGGGAAGACAAGCTTGCCTGGGTCTGAGCCCCAGGGGACACACTGGTGGGCACAGCTACAGCACCCACAGGGCTCCTGGGGACTACAAGGCATTTGCCAGCAGAGGAAGGAGCCACACCAGGCAGAAACATCTCACCAGGTCAGGGTCTGCCCATAGATCAGCTCCAGCACATTTCGGGCGATATCAAACTCTGGCCTCTGCTTTGTCTTCAGCCTCTTCTCCAGAATTAGCCTGGGTGGAAATAAACTCTGCTCCCACACTGCATGGGGGGACTTCACACCCCACCTTCCCCCTCTGATGGCAGCAGAGCCTGGGTGCACCAGAGAGCTGGGACTATGCAGGGACAGAACACTGGTGGGGGGACACGTCCTGGGGCACGTTACCTCCAGATCAGCTCCCCGAAGAGTGTATCCAGCAAGGTGAATATGAAATCCATCACCACAAAGCGATACAGGTCCTGCCCCACACACGTCTCCCAGCACTGGGGAGACAATCAAGCATGGCATAGAATCACAGACTGGTTTGGGTTGGGAGGATCCCTAAAGCTCATCTCTTTCCCCACCTGCCATGGGCAGAGACACCCTTCCACTAGACCAGGTTGCTCTGAATGCTCCTGGGATGGGGCCCCCACAGCTTCTCTGGGAACCTATGCCAAAGCCTCACCACCCTCACAGGGAAGAATTTCTTCCTGATATCTAATGGGGAAGATGCCACCAGTCCCTTGCACAACCCCATGCCCAGCCCAGCCCTCCACAGCCCTGAGGCAGTGGTGCTGACCTCCTCTGTCGAGCAGATAATGCTGCGGCTGAGCCAGTGGTAGCACAGCAGGCTGAGAATCACCATCTTCAGGATGAGGTTCCTGGGGAGCAGGAGCAGAGCCAGAAGTCCCTGAGCCCAGGGGATGGAGGGGCTGAGCCCCACACATGGGGTGCCTAGCCCCAAAGCCTCCTTGCCTGCCACAGGTGCAGAATGCTCCCTCCACCACAACCCCAGCCAGCCCACCTGATGATTGCCACGTAGACCTCCGTCACTGGGGAGTCCTGCCTCTCCCACATCGCCAGCAAGTTGAACAAGTGGGGCATCAAGGCATTGAGGAGGGACACCACAAGGGGCAGGACCAGCAGAATGGCTTCTTGCTTCCAACTGCCACTGCCCTGTGCTTGTTGCTCCTGCTGAACCTGGTGAGCAGGTACTGGGCTGAGGGCACAGCTGTTGGCAGCCAGGTGTGCTGTCCTTGGGGAGAGCAGCAAATGCCCAGGCCAGGAGCACAGCTGGAATGGGGCTGTCCCTGCCTCTCTCCCCAGTATCCCAGCCCTGTCCCTCCAACCCCAGGGCAGGGGATCCCAGGGTGGGAGGTGGCACTCACCACGTGCATGTGCTCTGAGAAGTAGTGCACAGCCAGCACGCAGCCCAACACCGAGCCCAGGGCCAGCAGCCAAGCCAGCAGCACCACAAGGCAGTGCCCCAGGCACTGGCAGCGGCCCTGGGCACGGGAGCGGGAGCGCTGCTCCCCCAGCAGCTCCTGCAAGAGAGCAGCACAGAGCTGCCAAATCCCCTTTGGGTCTGGGGCAAGGCTTTGTCCCACTGCAGCACCAGGACCCAGAGGGGTGAGGGACAAAGCACTAGCAAGGCTGGGTCTGGGGTGTTTTGCATTGCTCAGCTCCTCCACCTTCAACTGAGTGCAGATGTTCTCACACTGCAGCTTCACCGAGCGCCTCTGGATCACCTTGAAGTCCCAGGCGCAGAAGACCTTGATGGCCAAGGCCCCTGTGGAGCTTCCCACGCTCTCCCGAAAAGAGCGGGACACGCTGCAGCAAGATGAAGGGCATCAGGGACTGGGGCTGGCTGCAGGGGAAGGCTGGCAGTGCCACAGGTGCCACTGACCCACCTGTACACCAGCAGGATGCAGGTGACAAGGAAGGAGACCCCAACACTGAAGAGGTAGGCCAGTGGCAGGTTGTACGGGAGCAGGGGGGCTGGGAGGGGGCACACGCTGCCCTCAGGACTGGAGGTGCAGGGGTCGTTCAGGGTGACGTTGCTGTAGTAGCCGTAGTACAGCAGTGAGTGCGTGAAGTAGCCCTGCAGGAAAGCACACGATGGCCCCACGGTGACCTCGGCAGTGCTTGCAGCTTCCCCCTTAGCCTGGCACCTCTGTGCCAGCCTCAGGGACACACAACCTTGGGCTGGGGCAGTACCACCTTGTGCACCCACGGCACTGGTGGTCCTGGGGCCCAGGCTGTGCAAGGACAAGAACTGGGGTATTATTGCAGTGGGAAAGCGGGGCTGCCCGCAAGGCTTGGCACAACCCCTGGGGGTGCCTGGGCCATGCTTACCGCTCCTGTGAGGAGCTCGAGGCCACTGAAGGGCTGGGGGCTGACTGACGCAGTGGGGTACACGGCCTGCAGGACCACCACGAAGGCCAGGAGGATGAAGAATGAAAAGAAGTTCAACATAAGGAGTGTCTTGAGGAAGAGGAAGTAGGACAGGACACTGGAGCCAAAGCGGCCACCAATCTGCTTCAGGGCATAGTGCCCGGGCTGCGCAGCGCGGAGCAGGGAGAGCAGCCTGTACCAGAGACCTCGGCAGCCCTGGGGACAGAAAAATGGGGACAGCGGTGGGGCTGGAGCCTGCACCGGAGCCCTCCCAGCCTCTGTGCAGACCTGTGCCTCAGACTTACGAGGCTGACGAAGACTTTAGACCAGCCACAGGGTGAGAAGGGGGCCCAGTGATGGGCGCGCTGCCTCAATGGGCCCCTCTGCCCGCTCAGCTGCCGCCTGCCCAGAAGAGAGGGGGGTCAGAGGCTACCACAGCTCCTGGCACAGCTCCGGCTGTGGGAGCCCTGCCCAGCTGGCGTGATGGAAGGGGTCCTACCGGAGGATGCGTTTCTCCACCAGGCTGAGGGGCATGGTGAGCAGCATGTGGCTGCACTGGCTGGGTGAGAGGCTCAGCAGCTCCTTCACCAGCAGGCGCCGCTTCTCTGGGGCACAAGGGGCTCAGTGGGACACGGCCAGCCACAGCCTGCCTGTCCCTAACCCAGCGTAGGGACAGTGACCAGCACTGCCTTTAACAGTGTGGGGGAGGCTCACCTTCCAGCGTGGCCCTGCTGGGGTCGGTGTCCAGGTCGTAGTGGCGCAGGCTGGGCCGTGCCGCGCGGCAGAGCTGCTGCAGGGGCGGGCGGCCGCTGCGGCGCCGCAGCCGCGCCGTGCGGTTGCAGTACTGGGAGATGATGGCCCCGAGGTTGCGTCCTGTGGGGCAGAGCAGAGCAGGGGGTGGGCGGCTACAGGAGAGCAGAGCAGGCAGAGCTCCAGGGGGCTGTGAGAGCTGGGGAAGGGTGGGAAGGTGGGTGGCACCTACCGATGGTGCGGCTGGGCATGCTGGCCAAGATCTGCAGGGAGGGAGAGGAGTAGCTGGGGTGCTCCTCACCTTGCCCGGGCTCTGGCCAGGCCATGGCACAGGCTTCTGGAGTAGCCAAGCAGGCTGGGGACTCTGGGAGGAGGAAGGCAGGATGCAGAGAGGCCATGGCTCATCCCTACATCCCTGCTGCTCTGCTCCAGCACAGAGGCTCAACGTGTGCTCTTCCCAGAGTATCCCTTCCTCCACGGACACTTTCTGTGTCCCCAAGATCTGATCTCCCCTGGACTGCCCTGCTCTGCACTGGTCAAGGTATCTGCAGGCTCCCATGAATGCTTTGGCCACAGCATTTTGACACAGCTGGCCCAAGCAGAGGGACAGCCCTGGGCACACACACTGTCTCCAGCCTGCCCTGGCTGAGGCTGCAGTGCTTTACCTCTGGCCCTCTCCTGCAGCTCCAGACCTGCCTCGATCAAGCTGCTCTGCTCCAGGATGAGCTGGTGGAATGAGGTGTGCAGGGCTCTCTCGTTGTCCGGACTGGGTTCCTGGCTGAAGGAACACAGGGACATGGTGGCACAGACACCTGATGCTTGCAGGGCACGAGGTCGTAGCCCATCGTACCTGGGATGGAGGTCCCAGGGCACGACAGGGCAGCGGGAGAGGTCACACTCACCCATCGCTCTCGGTGCCCTCGGGGACGAGGAGGGTGATGGAGGGCGGCTGGGACATCCTGCGAGGTCGAGCGGGTCCCTCCTACCCGGGCCCTGCCGTGGTGAGCAGACGGGCGCCGCTGGTCCCGGCCCCCACCAGCCCCCGCTTTCCGCGTCTCCCCCGCTTTCCGCGGCTCCCCGGCGCTGCGGGACGGGCACGGAGCCGGAGCGTGCGGGGCCGGGGGCAGCCGGGAGCGCGGAGTCTGCGGGGGTAAACAACGACTAACCCCGGGTCCAGCCCAGCCCGGCCTCAGGAAGGAAGAGAGGGCGGATGGGGCGGTACCGCGGCCGAGAGGTTCCGCCCGCCGTCTCGGGACCCTCCGGGCCGGGCACGAAGCTTCCGAGCCCCAGTCCCGGAGCTTGGCTCGGGACGGGCCCGGAGCGGCCCTAGGAGGACACGTCGTGCAAAGAGCCCCGTGCCCCGCACCGTGTTCCCCGCCCAGTGCCGTCTCCTTCCTCCCCTGCTCTGCCTCCTCCACCCGGGGCGGGCTGAGGCTGCTCGGGGCAGGTGGCCGCCCCGGGGCTCCCAGCCAAGCCCCACTCGCCCCACTACCGAGAACCGACGGAAGGCTCCCCGGCGCTCCCGCCGCCTGTCGCCCGGGCTGTGGCTCGCGTGGGTGCGGGGGCTGCCGAGCGTGTCCGTCCCGTCCCTCTTGCCGCCTCCCGGTACCGGGTGGGGGCGGCGGGAGCCCCCCAGAAGCCCCTGTTTCCCCTCGGCTATGCTCACTGGCGGCCTAGGTGTGGGCCGGCGTTGCCGTCCCCCGTTACACCGGAGCGGAAGGAGGGACGGAGCTGGGCACCGGGATACGCTGCGGGACCGGCGCGGCACTCTGTGCCCGGGCGGGGGAGCCCCTGTCCCGCCGGAGCCAGCCCGCCCGCCCCGCCCCGGCGTCCCCAGACCGCAGGACCGGCCCTCCCGGGGCGGTGCCGCGCAGGAGCGGCGGCGGAACGCCATGGAGGGTGGCGGAGGCGCCTACGGGGCGGCCAAGGCCGGCGGTGCCTTCGACCTGGTCCGCTTCGTGCAGCAGCCGCAGGTGGTGGCGCGGATCGTCAGCGCGGTGAGTCGGGACGGGACGGGACATGACGGGAGAGCCCCGCCGGGACGGCGTCTCCCCGCCGCAGGCCGGTGCCCCTCGCCCGCCGGGACGGCAGCCCCCGAAGGGCTCCCCCCGGCCTCGGTGCCGCCCACCGGACATCAGCTCCGCCCCGCAGGTCTTCGCCCTGATCGTGTTCGCCTGCCTGGTCGGGGATGGCTACATGAGCCGGCCCGAGGACCCCCGGCTCTTCTGCATCTTCAACCACAACGAGGACGCCTGTCGCTACGGCATCGGCATCGGCGTCCTCGCCTTCCTCGCCTGCATCTTCTTCTTCATGGTGGACGTCTATTTCCCCCAGATCAGCAACACTACGGACCGCAAGTACCTGGTCCTGGCCGACCTCGGCTTCTCAGGTACCGGGGCGCGGGCAGGGCTGTGCCCGCGGTGCCTGCCACAATGGCCGCCTTGTCCCGTGACGTGGCTGCCGGTGCCTGGCGAAGGGAGCCGCTCCCGAGTCTGTCCGTCTGGCGTGCTGCCCGCGGGCCAAGCGCTGCTACCGCCCCTGCTGCTGCTGCCCCTGCTGCTGCTGTTCCTGCTGCTGCTGTTCCTGCTGCTGCTGCCCCTGGTGCTACCGCCCCTGCTGCCGCTGCCCCTGCTGCTGCTGTTCCTGCTGCCGCTGCTGCTGCTGCTGTGTGCCCCGAGGAGCAGCAGCTCTGGCCCGGTGCCTGCACCAGCCTGCACGGTGGAGCAGGGTCTGGGCCCGGGACTGCCCAGGAGCAGCTGGACCGGCTCTGGCTCCTCATGCCACTTCCCCCCACAGGTCTCTGGACCTTCCTGTGGTTCATCAGCTTCTGTTTCCTGACCAACCAGTGGTCCTGGACACGGGCTGAGGATGTGTACATCGGTGCGGACTCTGCCCGTGCTGCCATCACCTTCAGCTTCTTCTCCATCTTCTCCTGGGTGAGTGAAGCACTCTGCCCCACTTGGGGGAGTGCATAGGGGCTCCCTGCCCTCACAGCCTGGATGGGCCTTGATGCTGCTCCCCTTCTCTCTGCAGGCACTCCTGCTCACCTTCGCTTACAAGAGGTACAAAATGGGGGTGGAGGACTTTGCTCAAAGCTACGCCGACCCCAGCCCGGGGGTTCCGACTCCCTACTCCAGCTATCCCAACATCAGCCATGAGAGCTACCAGCAGCCGCCCTTCACGCACACAGCGGAGGCCCCGGAGGGCTATCAGCCCCCACCGGTGTACTGAGCCCTGGCTGGCACCCGCGGGACGGCTGTACAGTGCAATTCCTTCCGCGGGGTGGGAGGGAGGGATCTGTGACTTGGAGGGCACAGTGGGGCGGGAGGGTGATGGCTGCTTTGTTTAAGGTTACTGGGCTTTTTCATGAGGTGCAGGAGGGGCTTCTGCCTGGTCCCAGAGCTGGATCCTGACTGGAGGGTCCAGAGCCCGTTGTGTGATTTGGTAGGTGGTTTGGCACACGATGATTTGCAGCTGCTGGGTGAGCAGTGCAGCTGCAGGTTGGGTGTGTGGGCAGCCTTGGCACGTACAAGCCTCTGCTTTTGCTGTGGTGCCTTGGTGGTGGGCTGCAGCTCACACCCCTGACTCTGGCCAGGCTCTGCACCTGTGACTGTTGCCCTGGCCCATCCTGTCTCCGGTGCCTTTCAGCCCTGCTGGCTGCATTCCCCATGTGCTGCCTCGCTGCTGCAGCACAGCCAGGCCCAGCTCCTGCCTGCACTGCCTTCCCTTGCCTTCCCCAGCGGCTGCTTCTGGGCCAGCTATTGCCAAAGCCCCCTCTTCTCTTCTCTAATGCCATGCCGTGCCTTCCTCCAGCCTGCACTAGAGCTGCTGGTGCTTGGATGATGCCATTTGGGGTCTGTGGGAGCAGTGAGCACTGAGATCCCTCAGCAGAGCTGTGGCTGAGGACACCCTGGAGCACTTTCCTTGCCTTGTGTGCCTGCCTGAGTGCTGCTGTGAGGCTGAGCTCCTGCTCCCTGCCCACGGCTCCCTCCTGCACTCCTGCCACACCAGGAGCCTGTGGTCCGTTGTCTCAGGTTGTGTTTGCTGCTGTGCTGTGGTAAAGCTGTTCCCAGCAGCTGTGTGTGCCATCACTGCTGGGGCCAGCCTTTGAGTAGTTGTCACTGTAGGGTTGGAATAAAACTTTTTCACCAAGCCACCATGTGAGTCACCATGTGCCTTTTGTCTCAGGGGAGCAGAAAAGGCTCCTGCCTTCTGCCCCTCCAGGGCTTGGGGTGTCAGGTGGGGCAGTGCAGCCCTGCCAACTGCTGTGCTGCAAACAGCACACTCATGCTGGTGGCTATTTTTAGGCCACCCTCCTCTTGCTGCCTGGTCAGAGCAGAGCTCCAACACCAGGCCTGTGAGCAGCCCTCCCACCCTGTGACCAGCCCATGCTGTCTCACTGGTCACTGCCAGGAAAACTTAGCAGAATGCTCTGGTAAAAAATACACACAAAGGTTCATTAAATTATTTATTAACCTAAAGCAGCAGCAGAGCCTTCCCCAGCCTTGGGGGGAAAGCCCAGGCCTGGTAGTCAAGTGCTTGTGAATACAATAATTCTCACCTGAAACATGGGGGCAGCAGTGGGGGTTCAGGCAGCTCTTGGAGCCTTCCAGGGCACAGGCAAATAGCAACCCTGGACTCACATGCAGAGGTCTGGCCTGGCCAGAACAAAGCTACTGCTCAGAGCCTGTGGATGTTGAGAAAAAACCACTTGCAGGAGAAAAACACACTTTTGCAGTCAATAAGGAAACAACAACTTTCCAGAATCTGAGTCTAACAAAGAGGATCCTTCAGTCAGCTTAGAGCAGACTAAGAGTCAGCCTCGAGAATTTTGGAAGGCTGAGGAGAAAGAAAGAGACATGACTAGACTGGAGAAGCAGCTCCTCAGGAGAGCCCCATTACCAAGCAGCTGGGTCTTCCCTGGAATAATTGTCCAAATCTTGGTAGATGAAACTCTTGAGCCTCCAAACCCCTCACAGGTAACAGCACCAAAATGGCAGCAGCAGCCTTGAACCTGAGAAAAACTGCCCTGAATTTGGAGGAGGCTCTTCCTAGGACCAGTTCCTCCAAACGAGTCTGCCACAGCCTGCTAGAACACAGCCAGCCCTTTGAGGTTCAACACCTCAGAAGAGTCAGCTGCCAGGCCTCCTTCTGTTTCAATAATTTACACCAGGGAGCATGCTGGCAGAGAGGCTGGGGGCCTGCCCAGGGCTGGGCTGATGTGTGTGTCAGTTTAAAAGCTGTGCCACAGCTCTGTGACAAAGGACAAGTTACCTCAGACTGTTAAGGAAGGAAGTTAAAAATTGCATTAAAAACACTAATGGCTGTACATTATCTTGAGAAACCTGGAATTTTGCAAGTGCACAAGAGAGAAGGGCTGCATGGACAGGCAGCAGAAGCAGCGGTGGCAGCCTGAGCACGCTTAGAGCACTGGAGAGCTGGCCAGAGCCACAGCGAGCGGCGGCAGCGCTGCGGCCCGGCTCCACTCCGGCTCCACCAGGGCCTGTGTGGCTGCACCAGTAGCTGTGCTGGTCTCTCTCCTTGTTCTGAGATGGGAACTCACTCTAGCCAGGCTTTTGCTTCAGCTTCCACCAGCATCAGGCGTGGTGGACCCTCAGTTGTGGCAGTTGGCGTGGGGAGGTTGGGTAGGGAGGGCTGAGGCACTGAACAGTTTGTTAAAGTACAGAGAGGCAGGCCCGGTGCCTGTGGGCCACAGCACTGAGCTCCCTTCCCCTCCGTTGTCCCAGCAGTCAAGTGAAGATCTTGCGAGGGGCAGCTGTCTCCAGCTGCCTCAGGCCCAGGGGCACGTTCTCCTTGTTCTCCGGCCCGGCCTGCTGGGGTCGCATGCGGAAGTAGCAGGCTCGGCACACAGAGTGGTACTTGTCAGCTCCTCCGATCACTTCAACCTGGCAGGGAAATTTGGGGAGTGGCTGCAGAGCCCAGCTCCCTGGAGGGAGCCTCTCTGTACCAGCAGGACTGGAAAAGTGAAACAGTTTCTGTTCCAAGGCACTCACCTCCCGCTCTGCCCCCAGCCTCTTGGTGTAGGAGGCCTCCCGGAAGCACTCCATGCACACAGCGTTCAGCTTCACCACGCTCTCCGCCAGCGGCACCAGGTTCAGGATGCTCCCAAAGGCCTGTGCGAGACAGCAGGGAACATGCTGCCGGGTGGGTTCCACGAGGGTCCCAAAGCAGCTGCGGTACCAAAATGAGTGTTTTACCTTTCTCTGGAAAGTCCCATCCAGAGCAGCAACAATGACTGTTTTCCCAGTGTTGGCCATTGTCTCACAGAACTCCACAATGTCTGGGAACTGGAGGAGTACAGGCACATCATAAAGAAGGATGGAGGGCAGCACTTGGCTCCAGATCCCACAGTGCATGCCCAGACAGCAGCACCAGGAACAAAGAAAATCAGAGCCGTGGAACGGGCTGCAGTCCCGCCCTCCTGTCTGCAGGGACTATAGGGAGGAGGCTTTGTAAGCACAGC